ATATATATATATATATATATATATATATATATATATATATATATATGTGTGTGTTGTTGTATCAAATTGTGTTCGTTGTTCATCGATCGAGATTCGATCGGAATTTTATACGTGTACTAAAAATATGCTGCTGCTATCTTTAGTTTCTCTGTGGTCGTTTTTTCATGGTGAACAAAAAAATATTGGCAGCGGTGGGATTCGAACCCACGCCTCCGAAGAGACTGGTGCCTTAAACCAGCGCCTTAGACCGCTCGGCCACGCTACCATGTGACATCGAATCCGATCCTATGTGATCACATGCGGTTTGCATATCGAACATTTTCGCATAGGCTGAATAACAGGTTAAGCGACGCAGATAGAAACGCGAAGCCCGTCGATAAGAAAATTCAGACAAAATTGTACAGAATGCTGAACGAAAAAACGACACGCATAATTAGCCTCGCAGGGGTGGCGTCGTCCCTTACAATTAATTGGACGCAACTTTATTACCATTCGAGCCGAAGTAATACTTCTAACGCGAACATCGTGCAGTCTATTATTGTCTCTATTATGCTATGCTACGAAGAAATGTCATAATTAAAATAAATTATCTATAATTATATTATAATAATAAAATAATAATAATATATATAATAATATTAATATAAATAATATTATATAATAATTAATTATTATATTAAAACTATATTATAATATAGTTTTTATCAAAGATTAAGTCGCACCTCTGTTTCAATTCACTTCAATATAGCTTTTAGTTCGCGTAATAATAAGTGTAAAAGTACTTGTGGTATATTTGTTCTTTTACAATAAATCGACTGTTTTGAAATTTGATCTAAAGGTTCTGAAAAAAAAGGTGAAGCATCCGTCGGAGGTGCATTCGAGGATTTCCTTCGTACTGCAGAGTATTGGTTCGAAGCTTGGGTCTAATCCAAATGCACGTCAATAATGGGTAGAATGCATCGAATCGGGGCCAATTTGTAGGAACTCTGTAATTGTGTGCCAATCAGAAGGAAACGTTGGTCAATTACACTCGGTTACCCTGTTTTGTGGGTCACGTTTAGATGCCGATACTAAAACGGTCAGTCTTATTCTCCGCTTTTCAATCGAATCTATCATTGTTGAACATTAACTGGAATATAACCTTGAAATAACCTTTTTCGGCAACATCTTCTTTTGAAATATTACGATGTTGTTTCTAATTTAAGAAAATGATATTTCTAAACTTCGAAAACTCGACAATTTGTTATTTTTCAGTTTAGACTCTCTCGCCCTTCGTACTTAAACATCTTTCAGAACTTTCGTCCGAAAGTGGCGGGTTCCTTGGGTCATTCGAAGCAACTTCTTCCTTTACAAAAATTTTCTCCGAGGTACCGTTAACGAGTTATCAACGAAAAACAGTGATCAATGAGAGGCGAGCTCTGCTGGCGCGTGGCTCGCTGGTTCGCGCGCTGGTTGGCTGGGCCGCCTCGCGTCAGGCGTACTCGATTCCTTATTGGTCACTGTTTTTCGTTGATAACTCGTTAACGGTGCCTCGAAGACAATTTTTGTAAAGGAAGAAGTTACTTCGAATGATCCGAGGAACCCGCCATTTCCGGATTGCGAGACATCTTTGGGACACCCTGTATATCAATCGGACGACTTCAATCAACGACGTCTCCAGAGCCAAAGCCCGAGCGTTTCCGTGCCCGCGAGTCATTAGCTCCGCAACGAAATATCTTTTTCAAGCTCCTCTTCCGTAGATCGATGCGTCGCGTCTACGAGTCTCCGTGCAGAGGCATGTAGCCCCGTACCACCCTCTTCCTGTTCCTGGCTCGACCCCTTGCTCGCCTCTTCGCCCCCCTCGACCCCCGTTCGCTGCCGCCGTCGTCACCGGCACACCGACGCCCGAACCCGCCTTGGATCCTCCTAACAGCCTCAGTTTCCGCGAGCAAGGATTTCAGTCCGTTCCGGGCATCCACCCGGCTCGGTGTTCCATCTCGTCGGGCTCCTCCCTCCTCCACCCATCGACAACCTCGGCCGGGCTTTCCGTGGCACGTGGCACCGGCTCCTTCGCTCCGTCTACGGATCCGGCGTTTCCAAGGAACCGTGAACGCTGATCAACGCTGCACATGGTACATACATATTCCGGCGCGATCGGCGTGCCAAATCATCGCAGTGAATCGAATCCTCGGGTAGCATTTCGATCGATTTAACCTCGAAAACAGACCCCGTCGGCCTCGATGGTATTTTTGTTGACCGTCGTCGTTTTCGTGGATCGCGCTAGAACCGGAAGCGAGCATCTCTCAGCCACGGGATATATTAACCCTTTGCGCTCGAAGCGAATTTAACTGAAAATTTAATATAATTTTTGTGGCTCGCTGTATTTCCATTTTATATAACCTAATGCATTTTGTACGTACGAAATTGAATTTTGTGATTGACGCAACAGTTATCCTTTCAACGGTTCTTCAAGTATGAACTGAAATTTGATTAATAAAATTATTTTGAAACGTGACGTAGCAATTTTTAATGGCCTTGGAGTCACCGTTCGAGTGGAAAGGGGGTTAAAACTTATTAAAATTGTTACAGCATATTCCAAGATAATTTTTATATTAACAAAGTTTACATTTAAGAAATTGTTGAAAGTGTAACTGTTGTATAAGTCACCGTAAGACTCAATTTCGTACGCATAAAAATGCACTTTGTCGTATAAAATGTAAAATACCGTAAATCAGAAAAATTATGTTAGGTTTACGGTTAAAATAGCTTCGAATGCAAAGGGTTAATTCCAATCTAGTATTCGAACAGGTTGAATTCGACTAGGATTTTTGTGATGCAAAAGAGTGAATGTATTATTTGCTAGAATATCAATTTCAAGAATGATGATGATCAATTTCAAGACACACCGTCTGGAACGTAATTCAGGATTGCGATAACAGCGGCTAGGATTCCATTAACCTAAAAGATAAAGGACGATCGATATCGCTCCGAATACGAGTCCTGGCCGAAGCCGCGTTTCTTCGATCGATCATCCCCCTCGATTCGATAACGATCGATAAACGATGGAAAGCTTTCAAGATGCTTCTACGTTTCGAACCGCTTCGCGGAAACTCTGAAAATCTGGTCGAAAAATCAGACGTCTGTTCAACGATATTTCTATTTCATAAATATTATAATATATTAATATTTATAGTATTATATATTATATATATTATAATAAATATTATATTATTTTATATATAATATAATAGCTTCGAGTGTAAAGGGTTAATCTGCTTCTTTTTTCTTCATAATTACGATCGATGGATTGATTTTTTACGTTTTAGGCAAAGGTCCACCTCGAAGCATGGCAACAGATCGTCCTCGGACAGTGAGCTAGCGCAGGGGAGAAGCAAAGGGCGGAGGACGAAATCGAGGGAGAAATGGCCGCTTTTGGACGGGCTGACGGTCGACGAATTGGCACGTTACCGACGCAGGAGGGTTCAAGGTCAGCCGAAAGACAATCTCGGACTTCACCCGGAATCGGAGGACAGGCCGCTCGTCGAGCCTGAGAAAACCATCGGTCCGAGTAACGAGGATTCGTCCAAGGTTAGTCGAACAGAAATTTCGTCGATACATTTTCGGTCTATCAGGTTGAACCTACGCTTTTCGCGTGCCAATTAATCGGAAATACAATTCGATTCGTGTCACGTGACCTCCGAATTGCCTTCGAATCGTATCACGTGGCCCCGAATTGCCTTCGAATCGTGGCAAAAAAAGATTAGAAATAAACAAGTTAAGTCACCGTGACTAATTTCATTAAGCAACAAAATTTTCCGATTCATAGATGTACCCCTTACCGTAGGAAAATGTCTGGCCAGAAGGAAGCGAACGGGTCGACGATGTTCAGTCGAAGGATTTATTAGACGAAGGCGCGGAAGCCTCGGATCGGGAAGAGATCGACGACCGAAAGAAGGCGGACACGGTGCCGGAAACGACACGCGAGGAATCTGTGATCGCTTTGTCGCGTACCAACGAGGATGAGACGATGGAGACCCAAACCGAAAGCTCCAAGTACGTCAGCCATTTTGGAGCACCTAAACGACGACCGTCTCCGATCAGAAGGTAAAAATTACTACGTTCGCGAACGTTACATAATATTAATTTTAGTAATCCCAAAAATGTCGCACAATTCGGAAATGGGAGGTTCTTGAGGTGATTTGAAGTAACTTTTTCCTCAGCGAAAATGCAATCCGAAGCTTTGTTTACGAGTTATTAACGAAAAAAGGCTGACCAATGAGAGACGAGATCGACTGGCGCGAGGCGTCCTAGCCAACGAGCGCACGAAGCCCGATTCAGCCGATTGGCTGGGTCGTCGTCCCGCGCCAGCCGAGTTCGCCTCTCATTGGTCACTGTATTTTCGTTAATAACTCGCAAACGAAGCCGCTGGTGGCATTTTCGCAAAGGAAAAAGTTACTTAGAATGACCTCAGGATTCTCCCATCTCCGGATTGTGAGACATTTTTGGGATACCCTGTAGATTTGTCCTGATTCGATATTTAATCGGCAACGTGAATACGAATTTTTCGATTACTACAATTATAATTATAATATATATAATAATATATATTATAATATATATAATAATATTAATAATAATATATATTATAATATATATATAATAATATTAATAATAATAATTATAAATCCGATGAATTTCCGGTTACCGATTAATTCATGGCATATACGATAACGCAAGAAAATTGCGAACACCATCGATTAACGCTAGAAGAACCAACGCGAATGGTTATTTTATCGATAAACGAAGCTGTCGTAACGCGACCCGAATTATGTATTTATGACACGAGCTAATATTTGTTCTCGGTTTGATAAAAGGGGCACCACTTTGAAAAGGGATGGACAGTTTTACACGGACACGGAAACGTATTCGTCGTACGTGGCCTACGCCGGTCAGCACAGGCCGGAACTGGCCCGAAGAGCGACGTCGTTGAGGATGGAGGGCGATCTGCAGACGACCACCGAGAAATGCGAGAAATTCGTACAGTGGTTGAACGTCAGCCGTCCGGGACTTATGCGCGTGCCCACGCATCTGAAGCTCGAGGGTGAGATCGAAACGACCACCGAAAACCACGAGAAATATGTGCCGTTCGTCGGTGTGCGTAGACCGGAACTGCTCAGACAGCATACGAACCTGAAGTTGGAAGGCGAATCGAACTTTATGCCGGAGTACACCGAAGTTTTCAAGAGGCACAGCAACAGAGGTGACGACGTTTCGGCTGTTCTTCGAAAATAATTCCAAAATAGTTCCATTTGAACCGATCGAAACGAATTTTTACCGAATAAATGAATAATTACAATACACGGTTTTTGACATACATGGGAGTATGTCCCAAAAATGGGAGGTTCCTGAGGTAATTTGAAGTAAGTTTGTCCTTGGCGAAAATGCAATCCACGGCTTTGTTTACGAGTTATTAACGAAAAAGAGTGACGACCAATGAGAGACGAGCTCGGCTAGCGCTTGGCTGCCGAGCCAATGAGCGGAACTGGGCTTCGTGTGCTCATTGGCTCGGCCGCCAAGCGCTAGCCGAGCTCGCCTCTCTTTGGTCAGTGTTTTTCGTTAATAATTCGTAAACGAAGCCACGGGTTGCATTTTCGCTAAGGAGAAAGTTACTTCAAATGATCCCAGGAACTTCTTATTTCCGGTTCGCGAGACATTTTTGGGACACCCTGCGGGATAGCTTCTGGGATAGCCTGCGGATTAAAAAATGTTAAAAAATAAATAGGATACGGATATCGTTTTAGCATTTGCTTCTTGCAGAACATTTTAATTTTTGTCGAATTATATTTATATATATATTATTATTATTATATATTATATAATATAATTATATTATATATGTATATTATTATTATTGTTATATATATATACCGAATTTCCTAAATTCACTTGCCCCGAATCTGTAATTTGCTAACATTGATTCCATAGGATTTTACGGTAAAGTAATCACAAAAGATCGATATCGAAAATTCGAGATATTTCATTTGATTGTTCTTTGTATACTGTAGAAAGACCGCAGCCAGTGAAACCGGAAACGCATCTACGGACAGGAACGGAGTTCTTCAAGAGCACCGAGAACGCGGAGAACTTTATCAATCCCCGTGCAAGGGAGGCACAACTGATGGGCGAATTGAACAAAGACGTCGAAGAGGAAGAGAAAAAGCGAAGGGAACAGAAGGAGAAGAAAACGGAAGAAGAGATGAAAATGTTGGTCTCGAAGTTGGAAGACTTGAAGGGCCCACCGCTCGAAGTTCCCGAGTACAAAGACGCGTACAAGGCAACTAATACTTTTTTTTGTAAATTAATGCGATTCTTATACAGGATGTGCCACCTAATTTTAACGTTTTAAACATCTCGTCTATGCTTCTTGATAGAAAAAAGCAAAAAATGACAAAGGAGAAAAGTGTTGTCGAAGTCATATTTTTTTCGAGACGTTATCACGGCGTGATAGCGAGTGATAGCAAGAACCTATTAATAGAATCTCCACTGGCTGTTCCATATCCGACACAAGTTTAATCATTTTCTTCCAAATAAGAATACGCAAATAAATTACAAGACTATGCGACATTACTGTAATTATTGAAAAATTGATTAAGAAGCTCCGAAATGGTTAATCTCTGATTTTCAAATGAATATTAAATAAGCGTCGGTGGATCGGATCGATAAAAAGTTTAGCATTTAGTGAAATATATTACAAAACGTTTGTTACGTACTTCATGGAGCTACGTTATTCCGTTGCAGAACTTTCCAAGGGGACGACCGAAGATTTTAAAACCGGAGGACGAGATCGGGCGAGCAGACGGCTCGAAGATCCCTTCATCGCCTACCAGCAAGTTCTCCACCAAGATCGATCAGGATCCGGAATACAAATCCAAGTACTTGGATTATCAAAGGGACCACCCTGTGTACCGGAAACCGCCGTTGACTGTACGGTCGACGCTGGTTCCTCAGGAATTCTGTACGGCCTATGGGAAACAGGACGCCAGACGGTACGATTACGAGCTCACCAGCGAGGTGAGATCGCAATACGTTCCCTACGGTTGCGTGCCGAAGGTGGAACCGTTGAGGATGCCGTCCAGTTTGCGTCTGGAGGGAAATCTCGACCTTGAACCGGAATACAGAACGGCTTACTGTACGAAACGCGAAAGCCAGTGCGCCAATCCGAGAATGCATCGTAGACGAGATCATAGTTTAAGTGCTTCCAGACGGAGAGAGAATCACTGGATAAACAATGTGGATCAGATCGATCACGCGACTACTGTCCAAGATCGGAACGCTTTCCAAGTGTTGAAAACCCGGATCCACGAGGACAACGTTTGCGGAAAACCGCCGTCGGGTAGTCGCAGGTTCGTATGCAGAGACTGTTAAATCAGTCGATGGATTTTTCAATTACACCGTTTACAACAGACTTCTAATTTCTCATAAGAATTTCTCGTAGCTTTCTGTGTATCATGAAATTGCATACCTTTGACCTATTCGATAAGAGGGAAGATTAAAAAATTGTTGGTATTCTTCGTTGTATTCAGATTCGATAAGAGAATTTATCAAAAGTTAGGAGGGAAGTTCTGAAAAGAAAGCTTAAAGTTGTCGAAGAATATTACTGAAATGTCATGATTATCGTTTCATATAGATTATACAAAGCGTTCCATTAACAACTGCACTTTCAAGGAATTAAATCGATTCTTTTTGTATTGCGATTAATATTTAAATGTCCTCTAGTCGCTCTATTTAGTTGTTACATACTGTACTTGTCTATTTAGTTGTTATATGCTGTTAAAGAAACACCTGTGTACGTTCTATGATATAAATGTAATTGCGATGTGATGATAATACAGACATTCGAGGACTTCCCAAATTCACCTGCAGAAACTGGGCCAGCTAGACGCGCCAGAATGCAGCAGATTAAAGGACGAATCGTCTGGTCCATCTTATCGACTTCACGTCTGTAACGTTGACGACGAACCCCAAGGTTTTCGACGTAGACGATCGCCGTCACTTCAGTCTTCCGGAAGGATACGCAATCCTTCACCTGATCGTGCACTTCCCACTGATGTTATCAGACCGTATTCTCCTAGTTTTGGTAAAAGCACCAAGCAACACAATAATGATCAATCATTTGTCGTTTTGGATAATGAGATTTTTGACTCGAACAAGAATGAGATACGCAGAAAAATGACAGATAGAAATTATAATATCGATGGCACGCTTGCCCACTCCAAAGGAAGAAATAGAGCCACAAGCAATTGGATGCCGCCATGGTATGATAGTACAAACACCATTTAAAGCAATATCTGCATTATTCGCATTCTTTACTTGCTATGAATAAAAGTAGACTTTACTTGTCGGTGCGAAACGATATCATTTTAGCGTAAACACGGAACATGTTACAAGTAATATATTTGTTACAAATTATTTCTTCCAAGCAAATATACTTGCTTACAATTTGATGAAAAGATTAGTGCAGCATTTTTAATGCATACTACTTTTGTTGTACAAGGACAACATAAAACCTTGTGTATAAATATGTAGAAACTATATAAATTATATATTTTCTTTGTTTGTTGTATTGTTGAAAAAGTGACTTTAACAATGGTTTTATGATTTTGCGTCGAACCTTGTTACATTTAAACTATGTTTAAGAATTCAATTAGTAAAAGGAAGCTTTAAGAAAATGTTAAGTTTATAAGATTTAAAAAATACATTATGGAATTATACATATATATCTATGATAATCATAATTTATTCTGTACTATTAAACATTTAGTCAGAATACATTTGGTATATTATAAATGATCATAGAAGAAATTTTGTTGTCTAGGAAACGATTAGGTTTACTGAAAACTACTGTTTATTTTTTTTAATTAAATTTCCATATTTATA